GTCTGCAGAGACAGATAAGGGTGTCATCCGTGAGTGCCTGTGAGTTCCAATGTGTGCGTGTCTTTGTAAAGTAAAAAAAATCATGGAAGGCACACACACACACACGCACACACATAGAGAGGACAGTAAATGGGGCAGAAGTGAAATGCTTTGAAGCGTTGGGGTAATCCAGCGTAAACAGCAGCGGCAAGACAGACTGGAACTGGGCTGGTCCACGACTCTCAGACACCCAAGGTGAACATGCATGTACAGGACATGTACACTGATGAACACTGCTGTGTAAAATGATGGAGCTGGTGATGTTAGAACGATGCAGTCAAGCTAGACTGGAGGACTTTTTTTTGTTCTCACTAGGCTGAGTTTTGAGAATATTCTGAAACCACTGAAGAAGCAGGCTTCTCTGACATTTGTTGTTGGAAGTTTGTTGTTCATGACAGATGAATTTGCAACTAGATCAGGCTTTAAATTCACACGATGCCACGTTCTGACCCGCCATCCATAAATAGAGGGCAAATTAGACATTGTCATTGAGCATCACCGTCTCCTCTCTGCCCCAATTATTGCAGCTCTCATATTCCATTTCTCTCTCCTTTTCTCTCATTTCTGCTCCTTCCTACTTTTTTTTCCTGTTTCTTATTTCCCTTCTACCTGACAGACTGCCTCCCTCCTTCAGCGCACCCTAAAGCATCAAAGCCTCTCCACACCACCAACTTCATCATGGATAAATTGCCAATTTGGTATACATGAAACGAGTCCCCCAGTTACCCAAACGAAATGACTGAGGAGGAGAAATGAAGTGTGAGAAGAGGGGAGACAAACAGAGAGGAGATGTAAAAAAAAAGGGGAAAAAAGGAGGAAGAGAATTCAATTATTTTTTGTCTCTATTAAGAACGCAGACCTCCTGCCCACTCTCCTCACTTGGCAATTAGTGGCGTAGATAATTAACGAGGAGAGGGCAGCACCACACCACATCCCCTAATCATGCACGTTTCTATCTGGCAGTGTAAAGGACTGTTGGTGTAATTTTGCCTCACATAACTAAGGCTAATTATATAATCGATCACTCCCAGCAGCCCCCCGCCCCGCCCCGCCACCACCCAACCGCTGCTGCACCCGAGGTGTGCGGGAAAACGTTTGGGTTTGAAGCTGTGACGAGCAGCACAAACACCGCTGTTAAAAAAGAAAAGAAAAAAAAGCAGCATTATTTGGCTTTAGGAGACACGTTGTGAATGCTTGACTGTTCTGATGTGACAGCATAAGATTATTGCTGAAAATATATTTATATATTTGTGACGTGTGCACGAACATGTGTGTTTGCGTGTGTGTGTGTGTCAGTTTGCATATAAGCCATGTTCTATGATGTGACATTGCTGACTGGTGCTGACGTTAAGACTTTTCAGGGGAGTGTGGAAAAAGAGCCTGCATCAGGAGAAAAAGAGCAACCCCATCTACTGTGTGTGTGTGTGTGTGTGTGTGTGTGTGTGTGTTTGTGTGCAGACAGAGAAAACTCTGCAGTCTATCCACCACACAGAGATGAGGATGCTGGGGCCCCTTTGATCCTCTGAATAGTGATTTTTAGCTGACCAGAAACGTGCCTGAAAGATGTTAGATTTCCTGTTAGCTCTCATGGCATCGACACAAACAAACATCAATACAAGCAGACCAAAAAGGACAATTAACGCTGAGCCACAAACACAAGCTGGTGTTATTTTTTATCGCACTGAGGCCGTGATCAAGCTGTATGCAACAAAGTAACCATCATATTCTGTTTTTTTTTTCTCTCCCTTCTCTGAAACAGCAACAGAAAGGGCTTTTCAATAAACAGAGATGTAGAACCTGTCATTAGCTTCCAGGCAAACCTGTTTACAATTTTGCCGACATAATGGCAGAATAGGTGAGCTGTTATTGATATTGATCAAGGCCTGCAGTCAGTACCTGCGGTTCTGAATGTTATGAAAGCAAAATTGCAAACAAGGACTTAAACAAAACCATCAAGGAGACTCAAGTTTGACATTGTGGTTACGGTAATGTTGATGCAGACTGTCAATCAGAACCAGAACAGACTATTTTTTTATTTTTTTAAAATTTTTTTTTGAAGACAGTCGACCTCAAAAAGTTGATAAGCTGCAGCATCAAATGAGTTTTTGATGCTATGGCATTTTAATACACGGAAACACACAGAAGCTTGGCAAATAACATGCTTAGCATTGAACAAAACAAGAACACACACACACAAAGAGACAAACACCCATATGGGACAATGGTGTGGCAAAGTAATCAACCAAACCAGGAAGAGGAAATACCTGTGTGAAAAACCTGCAGGACCTTTCTCTCTTCTGAAGCTGCAAATCCAAACAGTTCAGCTGTTAGCAATGTAACACCTCGCACACACTTTTACACACTTTGTTGGCCAAAGTGTATTGTAATCCCCCTCCCCCTGCTTCATTCCTCCGCGCCGACTCATTCACTGCATCTACTGTCAAGTGAATTTATGGCATTAATTACAAAGTCACTGGTTCGTTTTTCAATTTCCCCAAAGAATTTACCTTTATAGATTAGTACATCACTTAATTAAATAAATATAATTAGGATTTTATTAAAATTAGTTGGACTGTTTTAAATTGAAAGCTTTTTTTGTGGGGGACAAAAACAAATCCAAGGCTCAGAAGCAAAACACAAATCACAATAAATTATTCTACCTAAATTTTGTCCTGAATTTATTCTAGAAGTTACAGCATCATTTGCCAGAAAAAAGTGTAAAATTCATTGTGAAGCTAAAGAATATGAATGTATAAAATAGATTTAAGACTTGTCCACATCAAAATGCAGGTTTTCCAAAGGGATCATTTGTTTGGTTTCTAAAAGAAGTGTGTAGCACAGTTCCCAAAAATCTTTTCCTTCACACCAAAAGACCAAAAACACAAAAATCTGTAGTAGCTAAAGAATATTTAATTCCAGTTCAATCTGTCACTGTTAACCTCAGAAGAGACACTCAAGCAGTAGTGCATCCCAACAGTCGTTTGAGAAATTACCATTTCAGATTCAAATTGTCCCTAAAACACCAGTTGGTGATTCTTCCTGACATACTGGAATGCTTTAATGATAACTTACCATTTAACATAACAGATTTCTCATCCACTCACCTGCTAAGTACATTTTAAAATTTGCCGCCCTTTTCTGAACAAATTCTGCGTTATTTTAGACCATTATGTGTGACAAACAACCAGTCCAATAAGGTTCATTCGTTAGGAAGTCGTGAGCTGTCAGACTAACTTCTGCCAAATATCCACTTGAAGACAGTTTCAGTTAATGTAATTCTGCAGCGGGACTCAATCCTGATTGTCAACAACATCTAAAAAGCTGCAGCTCAAAAAACAGAGTTCATTAAATGATTGATGACGCAAAATCTGTCCCTGGGTCGTTGCTGTCTATTACAATATTAACTGAAATAGAGTTTTATTCAATTTTGGTCTTGATCTGAAAAGAGTGGACCAAGCCTGCCAAAGACTAAAAGCAGCTATCTGTCTCCAGTAAAGCAAAACTTGTTACAAAGAGGCACACGTGGAGGATGATGAAAAAGGAACATCTCAAAGCAGCTATTTATCATGTAGAAATCTACATTGTTATCTTTGCCTCTTCATCAAATGCCGCACAAAGACTTGTGTAAGGCAGAAACAAAGGAACATACTATTTATCTTGTGTTAACTCTAAGCCTGTGAATACTGATGCTGCTAGAGAAATCTTTCTTTCATTCTGCACTCTGGTTTCTTTCGGCAGCAGTACCTTCGTGAGGCTGCGGGCAGCGCTGTCTTTGCCTCCAGGGGTGAGGTTCCTGAGCTGGACGTCCAACAGTTCCACTAGTTGGGCCATGGCTCGCACCGTGGATGGCACATCGCCAGGACGCAGAAGGCCCTTGGTCTGCTCTGCCAGCTCCCTGGCCACAATCGCTGCCGTTTCGCCTGACCGAAGCTGCAAGCAAAAGAGGATGGCAGTGGAGGAGAAAGGCACAGGGTAGCACAAAGATGGATGGAGGTTTGGAAAAAAAAAGAGTTGGACAAGGTGAGAAGTAAAGAGAAAGTTTGCAAAAAGAGAAAAAAATAATAAAGTTTTGGATGAGTGTCAGGTGAGGAATAGCAAGAGAACAAAATGACAAATGAGGCCATGACAGGATGGTAGATGGACAGAATGAGAGAGAAATAAATGAGAAGAAATTGAAATATAGGGTGGGAGGGCATAATAACATTATATA